TCGTGATTCAACGATTAAAAATTTGATCGACCATACCTCAAGATTAATTTTTATTTACTCAATTAATTTGCAGAGAAAATTTGTTCGACTGACCTGTTCAGTAAATTCAATTTAAGTTGAATACAAAAACTAAGGGGTGGATCCAGGATATTTCCGAGGGACGTGGCGAGCTTTGGGGTTTCTCTTGAAACGCAAACAACAAAAATGGCGCAATTTTCTGCTGAAATTGACCAATTTTTAAAAAATATACTTCGACCAAGACACAGGCTGTTTATTAACGAATCTATTGTCATTCGGGAGTTCTTTGAACGACCAATTCGCCAACTTTAACAAAATTTGTTAGATGCAAGTACATGATAAGGTACATGATAAGTACATGATAAGGAATCTGAAACCGAGAAAAAAAAGCATGCCATTAAAATCATTTGGAAAATTGCACTCACAAAATCAAATTAATATTCATATTGTCAGAATGAAGCAACCGAGAGGAATGGAAACACCAATCGCCATTGGTACTAAGGTCTAACTAGAGTTGGAGCCTCATTTTTAGGATCAGCAACCGGGCCGGGCCGGGTCGGACCCGGGCCATACCTTCAAAAAAGTCCACACCTTTCACATTATGTGAAAAAAATTCTGACACTACCCGTCTCCTGAGGACCGCGTCACTATTGCATCAGCAAAATCGAACTGCTAGGATCAGCTGCTGGCAATGGTAATTAAATTTTGATTTTTTAAAACTCACATTTGAATTTCAATTTACTTTCTATTTGGACATTTTTGTTTTTAATAAAACGGGCCTGAAGTTTTTTTTCGCCCACCGGTCCCAATTCTGTGTCTCACTCGATTTTGAGGTTAAAATTGGCTCATAGCTAATAGATCTAGCATATCATTCAATTTTTCTCACTCAAAGCTGGCGAAAACAACCAAGATGCTTTTTTCAATACTAACGAAAGAAGTGTAAGCAAGGTAATGATGCCTGAAAAATTTCAGCCTAAACTGAAAGCTTCAGTACTATAAAATTTATCGAAACGAGTCCTTCACTTTCAAAAATATTGGCTTAACTAAGATTGAGATGCTTCTCGGAACAGTATTTCAGAAAAATTGGCATTTTGTAAATCCCATGACTCCTGTCGTATTTGCCTCAATCTATGGAGGAGTTTTTTTGACTAATCAAGGTGTAGCTTTAAGGAATTAATTTAATAACAAGGTAACATGTGAACTGCTGATGCAAATTGAAGTCTCATAACCACAAAAGACAAACAGTTGGTGTACTCAATTTTCTCTCATAAACATCAAATCAAATTGATTTTATATTATAACAAGACTGCTCGTATCAGGGCGAAACCCTGAATGTTCCGACTGCCTTTTAATTTTTATGGAGCAGTAATAACTTTAAAAAATTAAATGTAATAAAACAAAATGAAAAAAATTTTTTCTAAAATTTGAAATTTTTGTGAAAATCATCCACCCACACGCCATAAAAAGTACAAAAGGATATATTTCGCTCCTTGTAACAAATCAATTATGGCAATTAAGCTTCTTTCAACCAATTGAGAACGATTTCTAAGACAGATTAACTCTCCGCTTACGCGTTAATAGCGCGAAATATATCGCGCGTTAATTGTCCCAAGTTGGCCAAAATGGCAATCTTTAAACCCTCATAACTTAACGAAAAATGATCACAGGTAAAATATTTTTTCACATTTGAGCTCAAGACAACAATACCTTTGGAGTGATATAAAAAATTCCGTCAAAAATGGCTAGTTAAAAAGTCGAAATTTGTCTGAAAAAAAAACCCACTCCGAGCACAAATTTTCCGTTACTTTCGTATCAAAAGTCGGAACAAAAATTATTTAGAAAGTGTTCTAGGCATTGATTTAGTATGAAAATTTTAGATTTGCGGAGATGATGTTTGGAAAAAAATGAATGATAAAATAATCGTTTTCAAATCTAAAAATCAGATCTGAAATAGGTTGTGAAATGTTTAAGTAACGATTGAATACTTTAAGGATTGGTTATTTCAGATCTAATTTCAGATCTGAAACTTTATTGTTCTTGGTTGTTTCAGATCTGAAAAAATCTATTTCAGATCTAATCTCAGGTCTGAAGTTTAGCTTTTCTTGGTTGATTCAGATCTGAAAAATCAATTTTTCTGACTCAATTTTGGCTATTTTTGATGTTTTTGTATTGATAGCTTCTGCTAGCTACTAGTAGGTACTCAGCAAAGTCTCAGCTTAATGACCGCCAAAATATGTTTCCCCAAGCATGAGATAATCATTGGAAATGCATAAGTAGCGCATCAAAGTCAAAAATTTGACAGGTCTACAAACAGTTTTTAAAAACTTTTAGTTGAACAAGAAATTTAGTTCAAAAAAACTGTTGGTGAAAATATTTGGAATTTTTTTACCGCTAGTTAATCTAAAAATACTTGTGTATTGCAGAAACATGAAAAAACTCAATTTTTTACTTGAAATGTATAAATTATAATTTAACAAAGGATTTCTCAGATCTCAATTTTTTTCAGATTTGAATTTTGTAATTTCTTTTCAAGATATGAAATTGAGAATTTCAGATCTGAGAATCAATTTATATAGGAAATAAAGAATTTCGGATCTTGCACAGGATGTCTCCTGGGTACGGGGAGAGAACGTGTTCAATACAAAATTGGTTATTTGAAAATTTAAAAAGTCTATTTAAGTTTGTTGTTATTAGTTAAAGGTAGAACTGATTTTTTGATTATTTAGTAACACGAAACAATGTGCAACTTGGTAATAAAATCACGTTCATGCAATTTGAAATAAAGATACTAAATTACCTTTGATTGATAATGAACTTTGATAAGGACATGTTTAGGATTTGTAAGAAGCAACTCAAAATCAAACAAATCAAAAAAAGTAAAATAGGACTTCAAATGCCTTGCTTGACATGCAGCAGTAAATATTTGATGTTTACACAACTGAAATAGTAGTGATACAACTGCATGGCTCCTTACTAAGCCAATCGAAAGAACTTTTTTGGATTATTAAATCCATCAATTAGTTTGAAAGGACATCATATCTCTCATTTTTTTCTAATTATCTCAGTACACAAGAAAACAAAAAAATGTAACAGTAATTTTTCAGTTATAAGAAAGCTAAAAGCTTCGCTGCATGTCGAGTGATGTCCTTGAAATCATTCTTCACTTTCTTTTTGACGAAGCCTGTTTTTTTTTTTCAATTTTTATTGCATATGCTTTCTTCATATGCAACTTTGAGTTAATTATAGAATTGTTTTTAAGTATTGAAATGATACAGTCATCTTTGTTTTTTTACTCAACCTACGCTTTGTAGATTCAAAACATGTGTTTAATTTGGAAACCAATTTTTATATTACATTCATCCCAAATGCTGTTTACATCCGACATTTTCTTTCTTAACATTTTTTTAGTTCATTTTTACGCTCAAAATACTTCTCAATTCGTTTTTTCAAAGTCCAATGTTTGTCTGAAAGCAATAAAACCAAATACAAATCGATTTCAAAAATTTTCAAGTTAAAAAATTGTGTTTTTTTGAGAATCTTTTTATTGCCAGAAATGCTGAAGAAGAGTATAAAATTAGTTTTCGCGGCTTAAATCAAAGGTTTCTGCGCTACTAAAACAACTATAATAGCCCAAAACAATAGCCAAAAAAATCAAAATCAGAGTAAAAAAAATGTAATTGTTTTTCTCGACAATGAGTTTTTCAAGCAAAAAATGTTATGTAGAGTTCGGTTCAAGAGTAAAAGGTTTTAATTTGAGATATCACTCGAGTCGTTCTGGCAATTATGTTGGAACTTGATTTTTTGTGGGAAAAAAACAAATCACGCAGGATAAAATACTTTTTGGCTCTCAGTAGTCAGAACGAAAATTGATATCCAAACGGATTTGATTCAACGGAAAGACAAGAAAAAATTTGTTGATTAATGCTGGTTGTATTTAAGGTAAATTTGGGCTTTTGACCTGCCTAAATTGCCAATTGCGCACTATTTATTTTAATACAACGTAATGAATAAATCGATAAAGTAAGCCAAAGTACGAAATATTGACCGTTTTTTGAACTTTTGAAATGAAAATTAGCTTCGGTCTTAGCAGCCTGGATTTGAATTGTTCAAATTATTTTCGCCGCTTTTTCCCTAGAATATCAATTGTTTTAGAAAGTGCTATGTTCGTCATAAAATGTTTTTTTTTGCAATGTGTGTCGCTTATTTGCGATGTTTATTAAAAGGAAACAAACAATAAATTATAATTTAACTACATTTTGCTTCGAAAACTAAAATTAAAAAAATGCTTTTTTTAAATTTATTTCAAATTGCATCTTTTTTATGTTTTTAAAAATTTTATTGCATAAACACTCAAATGAAGCTTTGCAAACTTGTTTTCAGCTGCTTAAAATTTTTTTGTGCTATCATAACACTTAGAACTGCCTAATTAACAGCCTAATTTAGCGCGAAATTAAACTGGAAAGCAAAAATTTCAAACTTGTTTTTTTTTTAGTCAGTATGTCTAATAAATGTTTCTGGTAACTGACTTTGTCTGAAAGAAAATCGAAACAAAACCGAAGACGCAGTTTTTCCCAACTTAACAAATTGGAGTATCATGAACAAGGACAGCCGTTTGCTGTGCAATTAGCAGAGCAATCTCAGTGTACAAAAATTAAAAATTAAAAACAGTCACTATTTTTTCAATTTGGGTCGTTTCTTGTCCGCTATGTGATTAGGGAATCTGATTGAAAGCCTAGTAGAACTTCGGGAGGCTCGATATTCATAGTAAAGATGGCATACTCAACACTATTTGTATTCGAAAAATGAATTTAAAACAACATAAAAACAATACAAAATTTGAAATCGTCCATTTGGTTGAAGACTAATTTCTCATTTAGGATGTGGTGAATGACTGGTGAACGGCCGACGAGAAGGCAAGTTCAAACTGCGACAGCAAAAGCCATATCCTTTTATCGGATATACAAAAATTAAGCCGAACTGACCTTGAAGACGTGCTGTTTCTCTGCTTATTGAACACTTCGGTCAGTAATGGCAGTTGGTTGCCCAGATCCACTGAACTGAGACTGGGCACTTTGCGATGTCTCTCGAAACCACGGGCCAAATCCGCTCCGAGAGAAGACATCTCCACGTGGGGGCCATGATGGGGGCCATGATGAGGGCCATAACCTTGACCATGTGCAAGACCATGGCCATGACCTTGACTTTGAACGTGTCCATGTCCATGTCCATGTCCATGACCATGACCATGACCATAGCCATGGCTATGGTTGTAATGGCCTTTTGAATGGTCATAACGAGACATTAAGGAGGGTAGATCGAAGTTGTCTGAAAAGAGAGAGCTATGAACATAACATAATGGTTTTTAATTGTATCAGAAACGACAACTATATCAAGTACAAAATTTTGTTCTAGATTTTAAATTAGCTAAATTTACAATTTAAAAATTACGGTTTGTATTCTTCATTCAGGTAATAGCAAAAAACATCAAAATGTTTTTTAAATAAACAATTATATAATTATGATTATGCATTCTCTTGCTTGAGCCCCAAATTTGTGGTTGGGGAAACATAATTGTTTGGCCACGTGTGGCAAAAATTTTTTTGCTATTGGGAATAAATACAGATAAAAATTTGCTAACTTTTGAGGTTGGAAATCATTTCCCCATGGTTATGATAGTTTAAACAGTTTCTGTCTTTGAAAGAGCCAAAAAATTTCAGATTGATAAAATTATTGCTAAGTTCATTTAATTTATTATTGGCAATAATGTTCAGGGCCTGGTTTTTGATAGTTATCAGCTGCATAAAAACTCTGACCGAGAACAGGTATATGATGGGGAAGATGAAAACTATTTTATTACACAAAACTTTCTAGATTACATGATCGAATCTTGGACAGGGCAGCTGATTAAGAAATCGGAATTAGTCAGAACTGGTTTAGCTCTGATAACTTGCAATGTCACAAGGAAACTGAATCATAGACCTGAAAATGTCTATACAAATTTTTTTTTTCTGAGCGAGTGCTAAAGAATTCAATCGAGGAAATTCATTACATGAAAATCTTTCAGACATGCAACCGCAAAGTTTTTACACATGCAACCGTTCCTAGACATGCTACCCTAAAGTTATTATGAAAGCGCATTCGCAGGTGCAGATAATTTTTCACAAAATACGGTCCTAAGAGTATTTTCGGAGAGCTCGAAAAAACAAATTGAATCTGAGAAAAAGTCGAAAAAGTTTGTTTCAAATTTTTTTTGAAAAACCACCACTCGGCCTAGAAAAATTCTGATCCATATTTTTAAAATTCCCCCCCCCCCCCCGCCTCTACTGAAAATTTGCAATGCAGAAATGCAGATACAATTTTATTCGGAATGATGAAAATTTATGCCATGATGCGATGTGAAACCAAAAACGTGTGAGTTTTTCACTCATATTTATCCAAAAAAAAAACATAACGAGGAAAGCCGGTTGATGAGCATATAGCACAGAATGTTCCGATCATATTCATATAAAAACCTTTAAACAATCGAAAGGTTTGATTTTTTTTAGAAAACATGTTTTGCCGAACAATCGCTGAATTGAACAACCAAAATAGTTTTTTTTTTCATAGTACAATTAAGATTTGTGAGCCTTAAAACAATTGAGTGTCCCTAAAAAAACGTTATTCGATCGCGTTACTTGGTCAAAACTAGAAGAGAAATCAAAAATTTTGAACTATTTTTCACGACTTTTGAAACTTTTTTTAGAAATGTTTAAAAATTGTTCGAATCATGTCTGAAAAAACTTTGAAATGAATAATATATCACTCGACCCAATCCAATAATTAATTGGGGTACCCAATTTTGAGTAGAAAAAAACTTAAAAACACCCGAATACATAGGTCCCTCTAATGACCGGAACAAAAAAAACTGAAGCCTTGACGTTAAAACTGTTATACGGTCTACAAGACGCGTGATCCCATAAATTGCAAAGAAGCTGAAAGCTTCACGCATCATTCGGCAAGCCAAACTTCACGTATCATTCAGTATATACAAGATTGCAAGGAAAATGCTAATCGTACAGTCTACATATAGGAAAATTGCATGATAAGCTTCTTTCACTTGAGTAGAAAAAAGATTTCCTAAAAACACACAAGCAAAACAATTTTGTTCAAAACTACTATGTTCAAAAAACCATTTCCGAAAAAAATTCATCTGAACACAAATTTTTATCAGGAAACAATAACCAGAGTTGAACCGTTCCCGCGGTAGATGACTTTTTTTCAAAAAACCATGAAAATATAACAATGTGCTGATATTCGGTGACTAAAAGTACTATAAAAATGTGCATCATGAAGCAATTCTAAATGAGAAGAAATGAAGAAAAGAAATTTTTTATATGAATTGATTTGAAACTGCTAAAAGGACTTTCCCATTTTTCACATGAAGCAATGTTCTGAAAAGCATAAAATTTAAGCAACTCAGAAGAGCAAGTTCGAAGTTTAAAAGGGCAAACAAAAATTATGACCAGTTCCTGTCAATTAAAACTGATTTTCTGTGCTCAATAAATAAATGGAAATATGGAATAAAACCAATCGATCAGAGTCTATTATAACTGCTTCGAAGAATAAAGGGATTATTAAGGAATTATAATCGATTAAAATGTGGTTTGATTGATTATTATTGTTTTCAAAGAGAAGTTCTTAATGATTATCGTTTGTTTATGATTTTATTTCTCGTTTTTGGAAAAACTGGATGCGGCTAACTATTAAAGAAACAAGTGTTGACATTTGAATGTTACTTCATCAATCATATCAACCAAAAAATACAAACTTTTCCTTCATTTCCTCTGGTTGACTTAATTTTTTTCACTGGGATAATCATGAACACACGAAAGTTTCCATCTGTTACTTTCCATCTGTTAATATCAAAACTTTATGCAATCTCAACTCAGGTTTTTAATAAGAAACTCGAGATTTAATGCAAAACTATTTGACAATTTTATCTGAAACACCATGTTGTATATTTTCACAACTAAAAAAAAGCACGTAAACAGTGGGTTACAACAAAAATAATGACTCAAATACGATGAATTGATTGCAGTTCAAACTCAGTTTTAAAAAAAATTTAATAAAAATGATTGAGCTTTTTTAGCTCGAAAAATCATTAGAAGCCAAGCAGAAGTTAGTTGCTCTGCCAGAATTTCAAGAAAAAAAAACTCAAGAAAAAGCTTACAAAAAAAGATTTAAACCTTAAATCATAAAAAAATACAGCCAGTAATCTATGACATTTTTGATGCAGTCTCTAGTAAAAAAAAACCAGCTTCGTAAGAATCTTTAGCTTTTTTTGAGATAAATGAGCATGAATCATTTTTGAGGTTGCATTTTAAATTTGCAAATCAAAAAGGGGTTGCATAAAAGGATGTGATCAGAAACTATCGTTAAAAAATGTCTTTGGTAGAGAAACAATTGGTAAGGTTTCGCAATCAATGGTTAAATTTGAAAACATTTGAGATGAATGGGTATTACTCTAATCATAAGAAACAGTAGAAAGGGAAATGCATGAAACTTGTCGTCATATTTCTTTTGTATAGAAAAACATTTGGGTACAACGCAAATACCTGATATGTCAAATGTTCTTGAGGTATTAAATAGCCACAAAAAGCTGCTTTTCTGCTTTCTGGTCGGTTTTGGCAAACCTAAGAGAGTAATCGGTTCTAGTCGATTATTTTACAGATTTTCTACAAGTGAAAAACTGTTTGTATCAAACTCAAATAAACACTAAAATGGAAAATATAAAAAAAAAATTTACAGAAAAAATCTTTTAGCTGAAAAAGGATTTTTTTACTGTGAAAAATCTTGTTTTTTTTTCTGGTAGAAAAATTCCCCAGAATCCGAATAAATTTTGAAATAAAAATGGTTTGTCTAAATATTAGAAATATGTAGGAAATTTCTGATTTACAAAACTTAGTTTTCGAAAACCCAAACTAAAATCCTAAGCATCAAAAACTGTTTTTCATGATTGTTTTTGATCAAAAAATTACGCAACATATTTTACTCATTAACACATCCTCAGTTGAATAGTGAGCTAAATTCAATCGATAGAATGCATTGCTCATTGCAAACTCTATTTTCGGGAGACCCTCCAAAATTTGTACAATCTAAGAGGTCTCGGTTTAAAAAAAAAACTTATGCAAAATTTCCAAAATAACATTTTTAAAGTCAAGCATTCAGCATATTTTGAAAATTTTTTTTTTACAAAATCAGCAAAAAGGATCATTTTTTGCGGCAAGATAGTCTTATATAACTAATTTTAATTGTTTCTGTTCAGGTCGAACTTAAAAACTAAAAGTCAACTGAAAAATCTACGTGAAGATTTTTTGTTCAATTTACCTTGAAACTCCAGGCAATAAAATTATAGCTAAAAAAATACTTTAAATTTTTTTAAAAATAGCTAAATAAAAACTTGAAAATGAGGAGGAATTTTTATTTCGGGTGTGCATAGTTTTTTTCCCACGCAAAAAATTGGTCATTTATATTAAGAAAAAAAATTTTTTTAAACAACTTGTTGTGAAAGCTTCATTCAGCGTTTTCTCGGCAATAAAAGGTTTCCGAAATTCCAAAACAGTACTGTGCATATTACTTTACGGTAAACAAGAAAAATTTTCATTCATTTCTGTTTTTAGATTTTTGAAGACTATTGTTAACTAATTAGCTCACTAATTTTATACGCGGTTGTTTAGTTCTCTCATCACGCCATCAAAAAAACGACACTAAAATGATGAAAAATTGGCAACAAAAATATTAGCCCTTTTTGTAGTTTTTATGAATGTTGTCGGACGCTTCTGTGATACATGCACAAAAACCGGCTATCCTTTCTTTGTTACTTAGACAGCGGATGCGTTTTTAATTGGATTTTTGCACATATATGTGTGTTATTCCAGATTTCAAGATTTTTAAACATCAATGTTCAGCACAGGATGCGATCGCCGACATCATTTTAAAGCTGAAAAAAAGTTTTTCAAGAGTATAGCTATCCTAAAAGGCTTGATCAGGCCAAACCCTCCAAGGCATGGAAACATCATGCTGTCACGCGAATATTTAATATAGATTTTGAACATATTTTAACCCCCTATTTTGTTATTTGTGTTCCAACTTCGAAGAAAATAGAAAATATAAATGTTCGGCTTTTTTCTCCAGACCGGAAAAAAGTTCTTTCTGTGGATCGATCCCTAGATATTTGTGGTCACCACCAAGTTCGCTCACCCCTATAGTAACCTGACCGGAATCGAGCTAAACTGCTCGTTGAATATTTTGAGGCTGAAAGTGTAACGCGCATTATTCACGAGAGTCAAACTATCCCGCGCCACAACATCGTTCCGAATGGAATTGGGGCAAGCTAATTTGTCTTACTTTTTCCATACACAATCCAAATTTTAATAGTTCAATCATGATATTATCAGCATAGATTTCATAGAATGTCAATATTTTGTTTAACAAAAGTTATTTGAAATCAATTATGGGCAGGCGGAACAATCAGGGCTTCGCCCTGATACAAGCTGTCTTTTTTTACTTAAAAATAGTTAAATTTGAACTGAGTTAACCCATTTTCAAACAGCGTTCACGTCCAAAATCTACAAAATGAACAAAGTCGACAGAATTTTCAGAAAGTCGAACAATGTTCATCATAATGGCCCAAAACTAAAAAGTCGAGTAAGGTCAACTGAATTTTTCTGAATTAAGAACCGAAAAGCGAACAATTGTGATTGGCTTGCACTCAAATTCAACTTACAAGGACTATTTGCTGCAATTACTAGTGATTGAAAATTCGGCTCATAGTTTTCTAATTGAGTACTTTGCTTCTGCTTTGTTTGTTTTACTGTCTCTCATATTTGTAAATTAAAAGGACTGTCTGGATCCGACTCGTATCCATCCTAGTGATTCGCCGATTTCTGTTGGCAGTTTAGAGCTACTTTGACAAAGTTATGCTGTTAACTTTTGGTTTGAATTGAATGAAATTTATCGAATTGAGGAAAGTTAGGCAAACTGATTTGTTTCCAAGTTTCACATTTTTGCTGTCTATTTTTAGTAAAGATAAGGGTTTTTGATGAGATCTGGTGGAGCAGAGGAACGGCTATGGTCAACAATAAACACGCAAAAAAGTAGATATTAATTTTTTGAAGGAATGTCAAAACTAGAATAATTCATCTGACTGAATTTGAAATCACTTTTGCACGCTGTCCTTTTATAAATTGACACAGAAAAACTTTCTAAGATTGTGAAACATTCTTATAGTTAAGTTTCTTGTAAAATTCCATTAGAATTGAGCTTCTGATTGCTCAAGATTAAAGAAAGTTGATTTGAAAACAATAATATGTAAGCATACAATTGTTAACAAGGAACAGAACTAACCTTGAGAGATCCAACCTTCAGGTTCCCAAAAGAAATGGAGGATTAAGTTAAGGTAAATACAATGTGGTGTTCATCAAACAATATCAAACGTTTCGCGAATTGCTATATTGATGTTTTTATCTTCATAAGTCGCAACGGCCCTTTGTATTTCTGATAGAAAAGTCCATAAAACGTCGATTGCTAAGACCAACTGACTAGAAATACGTAAGCGTAAAACAGGAACCGAAACTTGAAACATGCTTAAGCGTCGCCATAAAAACGATTGCCGGATTTTAGGTCGGACGATTTTGGTAAGTTGAGGATAAAAAGGCGCCTATGAAAACGTTAAAAGTTTGTAACAGGAAAAAGAATTGAACTAAAATTGGTTTTGCTTTTGCAAATTAAGAAAAAAAAAGTGAAAAGCAATTTATTTAGTAAAAGTTACCATCAATCACTTGACAGTACGGTGTTAAACAATATAAAGCAAGTAGCTTGGTATATTTTTACCAGCAATTATTTAACCGATCGATAATGACGGCTAGTTGTAATGATTGACTAAATATATTACGCGAATTCAAGCTTACGTTAATAAAAACTAACATTAAAAGCAATGTAAACAGTATAAAGATTTTCTTTTTTCTTCAGTGACTGGAACAAATTGTCATTTTTTATTACAAAAAGGAAACAGTTCATAAATAATTCTGTCATAAATAATCATTGCGGTGTTCATTTGCAATGCTTGATAGTGACTAAAAACTCTTTTAAAAATAATTTATAAACTAAAAAACTAAAAACCAGAGTTTAACTCACTTGACGGTCTTATAATATTCAATTGAAAATAACTTGGCCGATACTTTTTTCCAATTAGAAGATTTTTTTCCCACTTAGAACCAATCGTTCAGTTTATCACCGCTTATACTCAGGCGTGAAATTTCACCTTAATGATATGGTAACCTGAATCGAATCAAAATGAAAAGATTATTGTTTTGCAATTTAACTTTCAGAAAGCAGCACCAAATTGAAATAGGTATCAAATTGAAACAAAAAAGCTAAGTAATAGTACTAAAAACCTCATGAAAAAAAGCGAAAAGTTGTCAAAACTGATGACATAGCTAGACGATAAGTGGTGAAACGGCGACAATTTTTCCACTTGAAACATGCTTTGAATTTGTTCTTTCAACTTGAAGATTTCAAAAGAGATGCTCCAGTTAAAATAGCACGCATATGGTGTCTTTAAAAAACAGAATGTTTGTAACAGTATTTGGATTTAAAATGATTTGGTGAGACAAAAGCACTAGGAACATTTTTGGGCACTTAATTCAATTTTTCATCACCTTTTGGAAAATCGGCGTGACTGAAGCGTGAATTGACAAATGGTATAACCGATTTTTTCTCTTTGGGCTCAGAGACCGGAAATTAACGCTAATATAAGGTTCATTTCCTTAAATCTGACAGAGGTTATAACTCAACATTGAAAATAGGTTTGTAAAAATGGCCAAAAAACAATATAGTTGGAGCCAACTCGACTGTGTTTGCTATTTTGGCAGCTAAAAAGAAATAAATACCAAAATTGGCATCAATACTCTTAATATTCAAATGGAAATGCCAATGTTTTTCATTAATGGAAGTACTTCAGACAGCATAAGAGACCAATTAGCCAAGACAAATAATGAAGATTTTCAAGATTCTTCTCTTCACGCTTATCGATGTTGCCGCAGGTAGAAGCACTTTCGAAACAGATTTCAACCCTACTTAATGTCTGTTAGGGTGGAGTAACACGCGATCCAAATTCTAACTATGGGCCCAATTTTTGTCCTCCACCTTAGTTATAATGTTTCAAGTGGTCAATCATCAAGCTTTCCGATATGATAATTTTTTATGAACGCATTTAAATTAAATTCCTGGAAATGAAGTACATTAGGAGTATATAAGCCCTAAAAATCTGATAGCAATAAACCCAAACAGCTGTTCCAGGGGCGGATCAAGGATTTTCTCGAGGGCGAGGGTGGATTTTCAAAAACATTTCGAAAATTCTGTTAACCTTTTTTTAGCTGGACCAAATTGATTTTCTGATGAGGTCTCCTAAATCACTGTAAAAATCCATTTTTAACAAGTTTTGTGCGTCATATACTGAATTTTGAAAAAAGAAACAGGTCAAAAAGACAATTTCAGGTTTTTTTTGAAAATTTTCTCCAAAAAACATTTTTTTTGGCGAGCGCTCCCTTCAAAATTATTAATTATTATGATTATTATTATTATATATTCAGCCACAAAAGAATATCTGAAATTAGTACAAAGGGGAACACTCTGGGTAGACATGGGTTCAAATCCCTGAAAAAAAGGCGTTCCCCCACCTCCCCCTAAATCCGCTAGAAAAAAATATTGGCCAAATTAACAGCTTCTGATTTAAATAATTAGTGCTCTGAAGTCTTCTAACAAAAAAAAATAGGCTGAAAGGGTATACATTCAATATAATATGCACTTTTTGTTCCGACTTTCGAAAAAAGTGACGAAATAATTATTTACTTTTATTTTAAATGTTAAAATCATATTTCTTGATAAAAATGAAAATTTCTAAAAAAAAACTGAACCTTTGCAACCCCGATTAAACCTACAAGGCTCAAGATAAACGAGAGAATGACTCAAAAGATAACGGGTGCTTCCTTTTTTGTTGCAGAAGGCTACAAACTTCACATAATTTCAAATAACAAATTTCAATATCCCTTCTTGCCCGAAAAAAAAAACAGTAAATTAACATATAACTTGAGAATCTAGGATTGATAGGACGATTAAATGAATAATTTAATTTCAAAAAGCAACAAAGCTATCCTTGAAGGGATCAATCTTACTGACGATAAGGGCCCTCAAGGAGTAGCTCCATCAAGAAAGACATTTAGAGCTTAAACTGATGTGAATAGGCAGTGAGACAAGCAAATCATCCTTCAAACACTGATTGATGAGCTTAAAAGTATCTCAAAAAAATGTGCATCTACAGGAGTGAATATAAGAATTCAGCTATTGTTTTGACATAACTTTTCAAAAAAAGCCCCAGTTAAATTTATTTATCGAATAAAAATTTTAATCACTTTAACGCTTAGAGGGTATCACAAACAGTCTGATGAAACCGGCTTGGAAAAACGATGGCAAAAAATATACGTTTTAATCTACAATTATTAAATCCTTTATTTTGTTTAAGAAAAAACAGTGGCAGCCCAATTAAACTCATTTTTTTTCTGCACCAAATTGCCCAAAACTGAGGAAAAAAAAACAATTCCAGCTGTTCTTTTGCAAAACCATTTGAATTTGAAAATAAAAGTTTTTGTTTTGAAAAACGGTTCGGACAGGGCGCATTTGAATCTAATATTCTAGTTATCTAAACGGATACTCTAAGTAAATTCCCAAACTATGATATTAACTGCAAAGTTAGTATTGCATAACTTCAATTATTAGACTTCTAGATTTAGAAAGCCGTGTTTTGTAAATAACACTGATATTTTTAATTGCCAGCCCTATTTTACAGGGATCTGAGACTAAATATAGAATATTTTGAAATTCATTCCAAGCAGTTCAAATTTCGTAGCAGGCGATAATTCGAGCAGACAAGAGAACCAATAATTCATAATTTAACCAAAAATTCATCCCTTAGTACTAGGGTTTTCGCGAGGGAGGGTGGATTTTCAAAAAAAAATGTCGAAAATTTTGTGGCCCTTTTTTCAGATCGACCAAATTGATTTTTGAGCGCTCCCAAACGACAACAAGACTGCTCGTATCAGGGCGAAGCCCTGAATGTTCTGACTGCCTTTTGAGGTTTATGGAGCAGTACTAACATTAAAAAATTAAATGTAAAAAAAAATAATTAAAACTTTTTTTCCCTAAATTTGAAATTTTTTAATGAAAATCATCATCCCACACGCCATATAAAGTCATCCCACACGCCAGCTCCTTGTAACAAATCATTTATGGCAAATAAGCTTATTTCAACCAATTTGGAACAATTTTAAGACGGATTAACTCTCCGCTTACGCGTTAATAGCGCGAAATATATCGCGCATTAATTGTCCCGATTGGCCGGAATGGCAACATTTATACTCCCATAATTTTACGAGAAAATGATCACAGGTAAAATTTATTTTCAAATATGAGCTCAGGACAACAATAATTTTCGAATGATATAGAAAAAATCCCGTCAAATATGGCTGGTTGAAAAGTCGAAATTTGTCTGAAAAAAAACCCACCCCGAGCACAATAATTCCGTTTCTTTCGTATCGAAAGTCGGAACAAGATTGCTCGTATCAGGGCAAAGCCCTGAATGTTCCGACTGCCTTTTAAGGTTTTTGGAGCAGTAATAACATAAAAAATTAAAAGTAATAAAATGAAATCAAACATTTTTTTTCTAAAATTTGAAATTTTCTTTGAAAACCATCTCCCCACACGCTATATTAAGTAGAAAAGAACAAATTTTGCTCCTTGTAACAAATAAATTATGGCAAATAAGCTTCTTTCAACCAATTTGGAATAATTTCTAAGACGGTTTAAATCTCCGAAAAATATCGCGCGTTAATTGTAACAAGTTGGCCAAAATGGCAATCTTTAAACCCCCATAACTTTACGAAAAATGATCATAAAGGAGAATATCTTATCAAATTTAAGCTCAGGACACTAATACCTTTTGAATGATATTTTAAAATTTGGTCAAAAACAGCTAGTTAAAAAGTCGAAATTTGTCTGAAGAAAAAAATCCACCCCGAACACAAATATTCCGTTACTTTCGTATCGAAAGTCGAGACAACAATAAAGTCTCCATTCTGACCAATTTTTCTGCCCCACAAGCAACATTGGAAGATATTGACCAAAAAAGTGCGTTTTTTTGGCACGCGCTCCTCCTTAAAGTTGGTATTTATTGAATATTTTCTAGTAAATTCTTTTAAAATTATAATTAATAGAAAATTTAGGGTCAGTCAGCCAAAAACGGATATTTCAAAATAGTGTAAAAGGGGGACCCTTTGGGTCGGCAAGGGCTCGTTTCCTTGAAGGGGAAAGAAGGGGCGTCCGCTCCCTTTAAATTCGCCACTGCCTCAATAATTACGTGAAAAATTCGAATGCAATGCTCGGCGTGTCAATTTTTTGAAATAATTTATTTTTCATTATGATAATTTATTCTGCTGAGAGTTTTCACTATTTACTAGCTACCAATAGTTGCCTGCGAATAATTGTAGCTTCCAACGAATTGTAGCTTTAAGACCTTTAATCAAAGAATCATATTTTGAAACATTATAAGACGCATCAATGGAACAAAGAAACCAAAGGTCAAATAGTTATTCTTCAAAAAAATGATTCGAGACGTTGCCTTTTTAGATTTATTGCCTTAAAAAAATGGGTATCAATTTCCGTTGGATGAACAATAATGCAAACCAGATCTTCAGAGCTTCAGAGCTTCCGATCAATATGGCAAGTTGCAACTTCAGAACACTTTCAGTTTTTGTCCCGACCATTTGAATGAGGAAGAACTTTGTATTCGGGT